TTCATCCCTTCTGCTGGGATCAACGACAAACACTCTCCCACAGACTGACTTTAGAAATAAAGTAAAAAAGTACACCTCCACAGTCTGTGGGAGAGCCACTGAGAAAAGCAGAAAAATAATAAACTAAAGTCAAACCTGTGTAAGACGGCCACCCATTGTCAAGAAGAAAAGTGGCCGTATGAGACAGGTGGCCGTCTTAGGCAGGACTGATCAAGATAAAGGAAACAAACCATTCCCATCTGAGGCTTCCCATCGAAAGTAGCCCCATTGTTGTTGTCTTTGTTGGTGTTGTTGCTGTTCGTTTGTATTTCGTTTGTAATTTTTATTTCGTCGCTGATTTTGCACAATTGCGACAATAAAACGAAATGTAGCACCTTGTAGGACTGTTTTGGCAAGTCCTGTGAATCTGTGACACGCCCATACCATTTTAATTTTCATCTCTTCACTGTGGTCAGTAAATCTTCATGCTGCCCCTCTGCGTTTATGATTCTGTTCCGTACTTCAGCATTTGAAATGTGGTCTCTGTATGAGATGTCAAGGAGTCTGTGGGTCACATCTCTTTTGACTGAATCCTTTTCTCTATTTCTACTGTCAGTATACACGACTCACAGGCGTATAAAAATATCGAAGTGACTAGTGAGCGCATCAGTCTGATCTTCGAGTTGAACATGATGTTTCTACCCTTCCAAATTAAATAGGCATCAGTTTTGTATGTATGTATGTAGTATAGGGTTTTACGGCGCTCGCAACTGCTAAGGTCATATGAGCGCGCGAAACACAAGTTGTTTACTTTCGCAAAAGTTCACTCCACGACTGGTCAACTAATTGGCTATAAAATGCTAAAATGTTAAAATATTAAAATTTAGTGTAAATATATTTGTGATTTAAAACAACTCTACTCTTATAGGTGACAATAACATTTTTAAATAGTACGTTTTCATTTTTCATTTTACAACTTGCCATAAAGGCCAATGGCCTTTATAAAATTCAAAATTCTGCTGGGAACAACGACGGAAAAAATTCGGGAGAGGATTTCTGGTCTTGAGCCTTCGTCTGTTTATGGTCTCAAATTTCTTGCCACTGACTTTGATGTCTGCGTTGTTGCCATTGGTATTATTGATCATTAGCTTGGCGTTTTCGGGTTTGATCTCCATGCCGTAGGCCGCTGAGGTTGTGTCCAGCCGTTCCACTAGTGTGGGGAGCTCGTGTTCTTCTCAAGCTAATCCATCGATGTCATCGGCAAAACGAAAGTTTGTGATTGTATTGATTCTAATACTGACTGTTCCACTCTGGTCCCCCAGTGTGTCAGTCATGAGTCTTTCTAGGAAGAAGTTGAAGAGAGTGGTAGAGAGCAAACAGCCTTGCCTCACCCTGACCGTTGTCCTGAACCAATCTCCCATGCTGTTGTTGAGATAGACTGCGCTAGAGGCCTTGTCATATAGTTGTTGTATTAGTTCAATGAACACCAAAATGAAAGTTCTGAAAAGCTATGTATGGTCAACCCTTCTATATGGCTGTGAATGCTGGACAGTTACTAGAGACAGTAAAAATAAAATAGCAGCAACAGAAATGTGGTTTCTTAGGAGACTGCTAAGAGTATCGTGGAAGGAAAAGAAATCAAATGAGGTAGTGCTTGTTGAAGCCCACGTGGGACGCTCAATGTTAAAAACAATCAGGAAACGACAAATGCAGTCTTTGGGACACCTTAACAGACATAAGGGTCTTGAACATCTAGCTCTCTCTGGCAAAATTGAAGTGTTCTCTCTGTCGGGTTAAGTTGCCCCTCTGGGTTGAAGATAGTCTTTCCCTTTCACTGGTAGAGTGGGCTTGCTGAACCTACCTGAAAGAGCTCTTGTAGTCTGGTGTACAATCCGCAAGCGCCCGTCTGTTGCTGCTTTCTCTGCCTTTTCGAAGGTAGGTATTCTTGTCCTTCTTGATGCTCCCCTTCTTTCATTCGCTTCTGTCCAAACTTGTTCAAGTAGGTCTCGCTGTGATTCCCAGTATGCGTAGTTGGTATCGGTGCATTTCTTGGAGAATTTGTGCAGTTTTGCCAGCCTCATAAAGGGTCCTAACGTTCCACGAGCCAATCCGAAGAGACTTGGACTTGGATGATGGTGGAGGCTTCTGCCCAGCAGCTTCCTTTCGGCTTTCACAGCCTTGCATCATAAACTCTTCATTTAGAGAAGATCCACGATCAGCCAAGCAGAGATACTGGTTTTTGCTTGTATGTGTTTCTGTAACAGGTTTTTTTCACGAGAGAGGTTGTTAGCCTCGCGACTCAACCCCGACCTGAAGGCAGAATGACTCTGTTTCAGGAGTCACTACCTGGTTCGCCATTTAGTCGCCTCGTACGACACTCTAGCACCACGTCAGTCCTATTCTTTTCAATGCCGAGACTGTGGGACTGTGTAAAAGATCCACCGCTACCAACTAATCTCGATAACCTTAAACAAACAGCAGCGATCAACTTAGTGGACCGTGATTTACTGAAACGCATCCGGGATGAATTGTCTTATCGCATTGATGTTGCCCATGATGCTGATGGTGACCACATTGAACACTTGTAAGGCATGATAGAAAAGTTGATTGCGAGTACAATACTTTTGGCTAAGCGGGAGTTTTTAAATTGCTTTCCCTTATTAATTAAAACTTTGAGTAATGAAATCGATTCATTCTTTTTGAATCACTCATTAAGGGGCGGTGTAGAGTGTGTTTGTGTGTGTGTGTGTGGGGGGGGGGGGGGGGGGGGGTACAGCTGAGGGCTATCTCGCTTGTTTATGGATCATATTTCACCACATTTCACGAACGTGTGGATTCTTCAAATACACAATATTATTGCACAGCATTTCGTTGTGTTTCGTCTGGTCCTGGGGCTTTCTTTTTCTTTAACTTTCAATTAAAATCCCTCTAATGTAATAAAAAAAACCCCCCACAACAGCAACAAACAAGCCAACCTTAAGCTGATCGGTATCATTTTATTGTTTTTTGATTCATGCATAACTCAATCGTTTGCTGTTTCCATTTCCCTTCGTGTAATTACTCTGTTTGAGCTCTCCATGAAAACAGAATTGACTCGATCGTCCACATTTAAAACGTTGCTAGAGAGTTATTGTGTCATCTGAAATCACTCGTTTCATGATTTGAGATTGAATCTCTTTTATTTCGATACAAAATTAATTATTGATTGATTTTCTATACATTTGTCAAGATCCACAGTCGGAATAGACGGAAGAATGAATACATAAATAACACTTTTTGTTTGTAAAAAGTAATTTGGTGTAATATTGTGCAGTTGGTATTCTTTGTACAATATAGTTGCCTTTGTGATAAGATCGGGTAAGTGACATCAGGGAATATTCGGGACAAGGAAATAATTGATCTATTAGAGTTTTCCGGTTTTTATAGTTTAAAAAGTCCAATTTCGGTTGTTTATTTCAATGTATTAAAATTTATCAAGCATGAAACATACTTTGTAGAATACGTTTCGTGAAAAGCAAAATTGAAATTTTTAAAAGTAATCCGAGCTTACAACGATGGCTATGATACGGTGTGTGTGTGTGTGTGTGTGTGTGT